GGGGTGAGAGGATTCACCAGAGACAGAGTGGGGAACAGAACAGGCAGATCGACCGAAGTACACTGCTTAGGGGAGCAGCGGGCAAAGTCAGGAGAGGTCTGCTGTGCTATGTGGCTTGCTCCCTGGCCAGCAGGGAGCTGAACTAGTGCTGCAGAGGCTGTGGACAGCTTCATAGGTTGTGTCTTAACCCCTTGTGCCACCAGGAAAGCCCCATATTGTTATTCTTTATTTTAAAATATAAAACACAATCAACAACAGTATCCCTCTCCTGAAAATCTCTAAAAACTGAATTGCAGGCCCCAGATGTTTAACTACCATGCAAATGTGGAATTTAGACTGTAAGTGGTTGTTTGAGGGTGGATTTACATAACCTTTGGAAGTGGGTTGCATGAAAGTTGAGGAGCTTTTCACAAGTAAATATCACATTTCATTTCCTCTACCAAGTCCTCTTTGCTTTCCTCCTGCGAATAGCTTTTGCCCTTCTCTGAACTCTCATGGTTCATTTAGCACTTAATTGCTCTTCATTTGTTATAGCCCGATCTCTTTGTGTCTCTCCAACTCATGCAGGGCCATGCGTTTTTTACACTACTGTTTCAATCCTACCACTTGGCATAGTATTATTTAGGTGTGTGACTCTATATTTCCTTTATTTGTTTTAGTTCTTTTTACTAGAAGGATAAATTTTATGTGGGATGTGGTTATCATGAGTATGGCAACCAGTATAGGTGATGAGATGTATGTGTTGTACCAGGAAAGGCCATTATGTTCTTAGTGCAAGTGTGTTCATGTGACAACACCACTAGTTAAATGCAATGGAGAACTGGTTCAGTCCCAAAGTTTCCAAACACCTGCTCAAAATACTTTGACAAGAAATTGAGATGTGATATTGAATTTTTTTCAAAATTAGGGGAATTGTCACTATTTTAATAGAAGTAAGCATATCAAAGGAAACTGATCCAGCTGCTGTGTTATACCCAGAATAGCTTTCAAGATATTTGGAATGCTTATGTTTGTGTGTTTCGTGCAGTGAGTTTGTTTCATAGATAGTTTGCTGCTCATGGATAGCAAATGGAATCTAGTAATGTTCCTGAATAATTAACTAACAAGTTTCATTTATAGCAGGAAGTAAATGAAGAAGATGTTAACATTCAGGATACACACAGAACATAAAGCACAGGGATCTTTAATTCATGGGTAAATGGAGACGGAAGCAATGTGTTGAACACAGTATTTTTCCTTATAAAGTCATTTTAGTATCATATATTATTAAGTTGATACATAACTGTGGAGCTTCTGCTCTGTCTCCAGTGCATCTTTAACATGCATACACACACATATATATGCTATGAAAGAGCTGGTCAGGATAAGGTTAGCTGAGAGGAAGTATCCTTAACTGTATCTGTTTTATGGTGATATCTTAATTGTGTCTGTTTTATTGGTGTAAAGATGGTCCTATTTGAAAATGAAAAGCCTATTTTTCTAATTAAGCATATTTGAGAAATACTTCTGCATTTCTATTTAGAACAGCTCAAAGAGAATCTCATGCTTGTTTTCTTGGTGGAAGGTTCTATTTTGCTGGATTTGTACCAGAGATAATGGGCTTAATTTGCATTGCATTTTAAAAAAATCCATCAAAGCACTCTTACATCTGTTCCCTCATTTGATCCTTTCTCAGCCCTGTGAGACCTGTAAGTATGTGTCCTAATGCCTCTTAGCCTAAGCTGAAATTGGAGACAATGTGGGGTTAGGTGAATTGTCAGAGGATACATTTGAAATGAATAGTCTGGGAGCCATGTACTGTGCCTCCCAGATTCTGTGTTTTCAGATCATAAAGAGGACTCTTACACACATAATTACACGACCCTAGGTATAGGTGCAAAGTAAAATCAACTAGCAAGCTCTTTAAAAAAAAAAATGCTAGTTTTGGAACTTTGGACTTGGGGACTCCAGATCAGGTGCAAGCCCTAATATGTATATTTTTAATAGAATATATGTGTAACTTGGTCTGGTTAAATAGAACTATTTGATTAACTCATTCATTCATCCCTATTCTCTGATTTTACCTTTATGTATTTTGTCTTCTAACACGTTACTGAATTTTTTCAAATTTGTTTTTTTCTCTAAGGTGTAGAACTGTTGAGATAGTTATTATTTTTTTATGTCTCAGAAAGAACAATCTCCAGTTGAAATTTTAAAATATCCCCCATTCAAAATTGAAAAATATTTATTTCTAACCACAAAATAAAATTCTTATCTAGGAAAAAATTAATAATAAACATATCAATGAATCATAAATAAATGCATGAAAATATTTTACCCTAAATTTTATTAAAAATAAAATAATTTCATAGTGGTATTGGTGGAAAAGGAAGGAAAAATGTCAGTTTTATATGAAGTTAGAAAAAGTGTCAGCAATACAATGTCTTTGGTGCGATTGGCACTATTTCTCAAAAGTAAAGTGTGTGTTCTTTTTTGATCTAGCAGTACTGCTTATCAGGTATACATAAATCTGTGTGAAATGAATGTTAAAGAATATACATTGTGGCATTGTTAGTAAGGAAACAAGGAAATTTAAATGTACTTTTCAAAAATAACTAGTTACATAATTATGCTTATTTATGAAAAGGAATTATGATACAGCCATTGAAAATAATAAACAATATTTACATATGCTTATATGGAATTGTCTGCAAGGTATATTTCTGTTAAATTTTAATTAAAGGTTAAAGTAAAAAATATATATATTTTCCCATTTGAGTTTAAAAGTTGTATAAAGATAGAATGCAAATCTGAACTTGTTTATACATAAACGCTTTATGCAAGGATGAAGAAACTACTAAATGTGATACATTTGGGAAGGACAACTGGGATTTTGAGGTGGAAAGAGAACTAAATGTCACATACTCTTTTCAGATGTTTTGAATGTGTATTACTTTCAGTAAATGCTGGATAAAAATAATCACAAAGCTCAAAATAATTGACAAGTAGAATTAACTATAAGTTGTAAAATAAATCTTTAGGTAGTTTGTATTTTTATTATTGTTCCAATAATAAATGCATAGCTAATGTAACAAATCCATTTCTATTTCATTAAAGATCATTTCTATTTGAAAAATAATGAAAAGTTTGGGAAACATCAGCAATTTCAGGCCATACTCCTCTAGTTGATCCATATCAACTATGAGATCCTGATTGAGACATACGGTTTTTAAATCTAGAGAATGTGAAAACTATGAGGGACCCCAAATATTTTATAATCCAGCCATGTTATAGAGATGAAGAAACAAGTTGGCTGGGATATTTTTCTCCAATGTTAGTACATTTCTCTTACATGGTAAAATTTAGAATTTAGTTATAGTAACACTTGATACTAAATAAACTGATCCAGTGCTAGGCAGAGTACATGAATTCTTGAAATCAACTCTACATTAGCTGGCTATCCCGTCCTTGAGAAAGTCTTTTCTCTCTGAACTCCAGTTCTTTTAACTGTGACACGATTGATTGAAAATAGTGACACAATTGGTTGAAAGCAGTTATATTGTTTTATCTGTTCCATATTGAGGAAAAACTATATAAGAGCTTGCCTCACCAATTCAGTATCTTATTAAATTTCTTACTCTGGTTTTGTTAGGTATCTCACTTTTCCAAAAAACCTGAATCTGTATAAATGCTGCCCTCCTTCAAAAATCAATGTTTAAATTGGATTTTCATTTGTTAGGTAATTGCTCTGAACAGGGTATTTTAGTCGTTCTGAATAAAGTAATTCATAGAGTAGTTGTAAATCCTGGGCGAATAATTCACATCTTCTTTAAAGTTATCTATTATAGTTCAAGCTCATATGAATCTTCTTTCTTTGAGTACTTACCATATAAATTGCCCAAATCAGTGTTTCAGCATTGCTTGTTCCATAGCCAGAGTCTGAGTTTCATGTAACCCATTGCATCTTTCTAAATAACATTTGTAATTTTAACAATGGATTCAGAACAATAGTGGATAAACAGATATTTCAGACTGAGCAAATATTTAATTTTAATTACCACAGAAGTGTAGCTCAGATTGGGATATAACATGAAAAGTTATAACAATGGTATCTCCCAGGTTGGCAAATTGTATATTGTAGAAGGTATTATTATCTTTCAAAGCTGAGAGGAAAGAAAATGAAGAGTCAACAAAATGTAGAAAAGACCCAAGACTCAGCAACCAAGATCCTTCTGTGTATGTCCCTCAGTGAGACAAATCTAAGAGACAACAATATCACTAGGTCTAGGATCAGTCATGTTGCTTCCTACCTTCATTCACAAGGTAGACAGAGTTAAACTCTAGTTTGCGTCTACGTTTTTGAGATCGATTCTTTAGGTTTTAACGTTAGGAGTATACAAATTTATATTTTCATTTGGTAAAAAATTAGGTTATTAAGTAGACAACCATTGAAAGTATATACAGTATGGGGGTCAGGGCACTGACTCCAAATGTAGTTAAAATTCCAACTGCAACTGCCCAAGTATTGGTTTCAGGATCTGGCTTGAAACCCAAATCCACGGATGTTCAAGTCTTTCTTAGTTGGTGTGTGGTAGTATTGAGTTCTACGTCAACAAATTCAACTAATAATAGATTTGGGTTGAATCTCTGAATACAGAACTTGCAAGATAGGAAAAAATAGCCACAAATAAATGAACTCATAATTCAAACTCATGTTATTCAAGAATCAAAGGTAATCAACACATAATTCCTAAAAATTCATGAGTAAATCTGCTTAATATATGTTCCCAATACATCTTAAATCTTTAATGAGTAAAACTCAATGCTGAAAAATTAAAAATTTGGTACTATTAGGTTTTATATAGTTTTTCTATATGTAAAGTTCATAAACATGCTTCTAGTAATTTCTATCCAAACTACTTAGTCTCATTATTTGTCTACTTTTACCTTTTTTTTTTTTAATATTACATGTTGGCTTCTCTATTTTAAATTCTATAAAAATTTTGCTCTTTTTTTTGCAGGCAGAATTCACAGCCATGCGGGAGCAGTACATGAGAGGTGGGGAAGGTTTCATTATCTGCTACTCTGTCACTGACCGCCAATCATTCCAAGAGGCCGCCAAGTTCAAAGAGCTCATTTTTCAGGTCCGCCACACCTATGAAATTCCCCTGGTGCTGGTGGGTAACAAAATTGACCTGGAACAGTTCCGCCAGGTAAGTGCCAGTTTTATGTGTTCTGTCTTTTTCCTCTGAGGATAAATAGTACCAAGTATGGTTGCTTTTCCAAGTACATACTGAGAATTATAGAAATAAATGATGCATGTGACTTTTCTAAAATGTAACAAAAATAACTCTGTGGCCCTGTAGTAGATTATTAGCTGTTACGATAGATCCCACATGCTATTCTGTAGTATCCTTACTACCCTTCAAGGAGGAGGTAGACTCTTTCCCCCATCTTCTTGAATCTCCACTGGCCCTATCCTTTATTTGGAGCAGTATTATACAGTAAAATTAATGCTTATAAATTCTGATGTTGAGCCTTAAAAATTCTGCATGTTCTGTCTTGGCCTTTTGAAATGTTTGCTCTTGAGGTCTAGCCACTATGTCAAAACTCTAAGTGAAATGTAGGGGGAGCTTTGTGTTCAAATCTCACAACTGTCCCTGTCAAGACACTGTCTATATGAACAAAGTCATTTTGCATTCTAGCACCAAACAAGATATATAACATGATAAGATAGCCTAGCCAACCCACACAGGACAGACAGTTGAGTCTTGTCTATATTTCTGACCCAAAGAATCATGGGCAAACATGTTTTGGAGCAAGTTTTTTAAGCAGCAATAGATAATCAAAGCAGGACCTACCTGCTTTCCAGAATCAGAACAAGCCATTACTTCTCAAGTTGAATAAGAAATGACTCCTATATACCATCAGTCTGCTTCAACCTGTTCCTGTTATCATTTTGATCCTCATTCTCATAACATCTCAAAAAAAATAATGGATAGAGGCAGACCATGTTTATTATAGAGGATGATTCATGACCAGATTTCATGTAGTTTGTTATAGTTTATGCACATTTTAGTTAAAGGTTATCAGGACCTAAAGAGCAAAAAGTGGTGGTCTCCTCTCATACCTCTGTGGGTTAATGAAATCCTTTTGAGAAAACCGTAAAACAAAAACCTGAATCAAAACAAAACAAAAACCTGAATCAGGAACCAGCAAGTAGACTCTTTTTGTCCATTGCTGAAAAGTTGCATGCAAATAAAAGTTTTGTAAATCAAATTCTCTAAATCAAGTGGCTTATTGCAATTTGAGATGTTTTATTTTTATGTGCATTGACTAAATTTGAACTGGATTTTAGTACTTGTTGTAGTTGATGAGTTCTGTTTAGACTGTTCAAAGTATCCTGCTAATGAAGCCATCAGCTCAGGTAAGAATCTTCACTAAAACTGTTTTCTCCTATGTGAATATTTGTGGTTTTGTGCCTAATGCATTTTAAGTTTTCTTACAGTGAAAAGGTCTCATATAGAGTCAATGTTTATAAATTTATGCTTAACATGGAAACACATTCCTGTGATTTAGTGCAGTATATTTTTGTGGTGACATTTTTGTATAATTTACATGACAGTTTAAGCATCTTAAAGTGGCAGTCAGCTATCTTTTGGAGCTATAATATTTGTTTTTCACCTCTGCATCTGTTTGCTGCCTTGTTTTGTAGTTTCCCTTTATGCAAAAGGAATGTTGATGAGGCTTATGACATGGCAGTGTTTACTGTGGCATCATTTTACATGCCACAGTCTTTCCTCACAAAATTGAATGTATATGTATTCTCAAAGTTCAATGTATATGTATTCTCAGATACTTGACAGAAAAGAAGTTAGAGGTTAAGGACTGAGCCCTTCAGATTCTCCTCTGAATAGCGGGGATGCTTCTTTTTGGGGGAAGTATGAAGGGAAGGAATACCTTGAGATAGAAGTACATGATGCATGATCATGTGACCATCTACACTGTACTTCTCAGAATTCCTAGAAGAAACAAACATTTAATTGGACATTAGTCAAGAGAGCTATTAGTGCCTCTGCAAAAATTGGTGAATTTGAGAAAATCAGGCAGTAGTTAATCAGATTCTCTCTAAGGTCACTGGTCTCCTTGATTCCCACACCAGCCTGGTATTTGCTGTCCCTTCACCCTCCTGGCACTGTGACTGCTTTCCATGGCTCAGAGGAGGGTCCTTGGCATCTCACAAAGGATGCTCAACTGGACCCTACCTCTGCCTGAGGAACAGCAGATTAGCAGTGCTGTGAACCACAAGCCTCACAAACATCAGTAAAACATACTGAAAACAACATGAAACTGAGTGATTTAACAGTGTTAACAGACTTCCTTTTAGATAAAAGCAAGTAAACAAGATAGTTACCACAAGTCGAAAAACCATGAAAACTCTGTTGTAATATTTTAAAAATGTTCATGTACCAATATCTCCAATAATGAAGTGTTGATATGCAAATGTGGCTTCTGGCTGTGGAGTATGTGATGGAAATAATTATTCCTATAATTATACTGTGGTTTTTCCTTTTAATTCAAATGCTTTTAATTCACACTTTATTTCCACGCTATAACTGTTCTGTACACTTGTAATCATTTGATGGAGGATGGTATTTGAGAAGTGACTATATTTATAGAAATTGACTTTAATAAACTATTGCTGTTAGTGGCAGAATGAAGACTAAAATCTAGATCATGAGCACTCTTTGTTACATCCATATTTAAAGGGTATTTCTTTTCTTTATTAAAAATGCAAATTAACCTAAACAAAGATGCTGATACCTGCATCGTCTACACTACAAAGGAGTTTTATAAAGATTGCTAGAGTAATAAAGTTGAACTCTCTCTGGAAAGACCCAAAGCAAAACATCCTGGTGTTTTTGCTTCATGCTGAGAGACAAGGGTGGGAAATTCACCATGGTGCTACTTTTCTCAGTCTATGTTGAAAAGGGATGAAAGGAAATAGTACTGATGAGGAAACTGATTTAGAAGAGTAGACATCTGCATTTCTAATGCATTTTGGTGAAAAGATTCTTCTTAAGGAAAATAAAAAATGGTGCCTATATTTTTAATTTATCTTTATTCATTTTGAGCTAAAACATTGGAAGTCTGATTAAAGTAATACTCCTGTCAGTGAATAAACTCATGTTGATGCATCTAAATGTATTTTCAAGGCTCTGTGCCAGGCACTTAACGCACATATTTTATTCCTCACCAAAAGTCTAGGAAGTAGGCTGCTTCTGAGATACCTGTTTACCTGAGTCAATTTAAGCTTTAATAGATTCAGTAACTTGCTGAAGGTCACATATCTAGAGCTGAAAGGTAATGCCCTGTGTGTTCCGATTTCAAATTTCCCTATGCTATATGGTTAGCCTATTTTTTCATGAATTTTCTTACATAAAATTCAAGATCTTAGCATGTGTTTCAGAGGATGGAAAATAAACAATCATATTTTGTTGGCAAGTTGTATCTGACAGGATCAGAATAACTTCACATGTGGCGTGAGAAGCTCCAGGCCCAGGAAAGACTAGTTGTACCAGAAGTTGGGAGGGAGAAAAGGAGGGGAAAACAAGAGTAAGGGAATAAGGTGCAAAACTATTTAAAAGAACTGTTTTGCCATCAACTAAACAGATGTAGGCTACTCTAAAGCCTTTTTTTAAATTCCCCGATATTAGATCTCAGTTTCCTTGATCTTTATCTCTATCATGTGTTCTGGTGTCACAGTGGGAAGTGAAAGGGGGTAATACCTGTTGTCTGTATTTGGGCAACGCTGACTGACTGTGCAAAGTAATATAGTGCTATGAACGGAAAGAAAGCCAGGGATTTGGGAGCTAGATTAGAAAAATTCTATGTCAGGGCAGACCACAAACTGTTTTATCCTGAAGACAGAACATGACAAACCCCTCAGTGCTGACAGCCTAATTGCAACTTAATACTCAGCTTGAGGCCATGAAATTCAGCTTACACAGACTAACCGTGTGAACGTTGATTTGGGATTCTGAAAGAACTGTTGTTTAGATACTCTTCAGTGAGATATCTAATGAAAAAAATTCCATTCCTATACTGAGAGGGGAACATGGAAGCTGTGGGAATTAGGAATTGCTGTATTAGGGGGAAAATAACACCTGTTTAGAGTTGTATCAAGCCTCAACTGATCTTTGCAAAGTGTTTGCGATGTTAGAACACAGTTTAGGGCTGAGTGATCCATTTTTTGTCCTCAAAAACTTTTTCAGAGGATCTGTTCATATCAAGTAGGCAGGAAATCATATTAGCAACAAAATTAAATGTTGACTATATGGCACTATCCTTAAGTTCAAGCATGTTGAAGGTCAGGAAAGATCAACGTGGTCATCATATTTGAGGGAGAAAGATGCTCCATACAGAAGAAGCCTGACCATGTGGGAGGGATCAGGTGAATGGTGATGGCCCTTTCAGGAAGGGCTAGCATATCTAGAGAATGGGAAGTAAATGGTGAGGTTATGAATGTACACAAGTGATGGAGTGCTTGAGAAGGTCAAAAGACTATCATATCCCATGATTTTATATCAAATATCTTCAGGTTAATTTCATAGACAGGACCTGCCTTGAAAATATACTCAAAATACAAATATATACCAGAGTATATTAGATAAACTACAATGTTTTTAATTGCAAGTGTCACTTAAATTTTAAGAATGAAATATGAAAGATTAACATTTCATTTGTCTTTCTTCAGTACATAAGGTTATTTCTGCAAATACATTTTCCAAATAGTGTCTTATTTTTTAAGGAAAGAAAAGGTTTGATAATTTACCTATTGTTTTGTGGATAAACATTCAAGTTTAAAGATCTAGTTTATTTTTCCTCCTGATAGCAATTTCTTTATATGCAATTTCATTTAATTAAAAATGTATATATTAACTCCAATTAAGATAGAAAACAAAACAAAAAAAAAAAAAAAAGAAAACAAAACCAAGTTTAGAGTTTTATGTAATTTATGCAAATTGATAGGTTGCGGAAGTGGAATTTGTACCCAAGTCAATTATTCTGATTCTCCCATATATGTTTTTAGCTACCATTGCTTTTTTATTCTATTAAATATTTAATAATCATTCTGTGGGTAACAGGCACTTTTATAGAATCTGGTCTTTCAGGAGTGAGTATGGCAGATAAAACTCTTATGGGTCAGAAT